TAAATGATAAAAGGATATTATTTCAGGTTTAAATCTCTAAGCATTTTAACAACCATTTTTATTCATAGTTTTAGAAATAAATCACAAATAATATGAACAAATCTTTTAAAAATGTGCAGGCTTTTAAAAATTAAATGAAGGTTTGAAAAAGAAAATATGAATACCTTGTAAGCTATTATAAGATGTATACTGTTTCTGACCCCAACCACAAAACCCTCTTATTAAAGATAATCAATTTTTTTTTCCTCAAAATTATGCTGGACAACAAGATCCTGGCACTGACATGAAAACAACCAGTCTTTAATAGTTTTGGGGATGCTGAACACAAAAAACAACCAGTCTTTAATAATTTTCGGGGTGCTGAACACAAAAACAACCAGTCTTTAACTCTTTAAAGACTTTTTGCCAGTATACTGGCGAATGAATTTACCCCTAATGGACTAATCACCAGTATACTGGCGTTTCATAGAGACGCTCTAATTTTGTTCTGCTTGTGGGGAAAACGAACTTTTATGAACAAGTTTTTGAACAATTAAGATTAACAACCGGAAGTCCTTTTGTTTGCGAAGTTGATCGTGGTCTGTGCATAATTTTCTGATTTAAACAAAATTATTTAGACGGGATACAATTTTTACATGATTTTTCTATACTAAATGATAAAGGAAAAGGTCTAGAACTGTTCATACCGCTCTTTCGTTGATCAATCTCTGCCAGATGGTGACAATAGTCTTGATATTATGATTGATATCTAAGGGAAAAACCTATCGGTGATAATTTAGTTTAAGATATGAAAATGGAACAAAATATTTCAATCAGATCAATGTTTTGATCAGTTGTGTTCCCGATTTTCGGTTGTTGTGAGATTTGACATGTCATACAAAAATGATCATAACATCCAAAGTATTTAAATTAATCATTTCAAATAAAAACTAGCTGATACATAATTGAACAGCAGAGAAGGCATGTGAATTCTTAGAATTGGAGAGCAGTATTGTTGAACAGGTAAAAAAAAAAAAGTAAGGTAGGCACACAATTTTTTATGTAAATAATCTTCATATGTGTCTAACTGTTGTAATACTGACATTTAAATATTTTAGATTTATTTTGCACTCATTTACCTTTAATTTGAATTATTATATGTCCCATTACAGCCAATACCTTTTCTTCAGGAAGGTTTAAGCTTTGTTGTGTTACAGTAAAAAAAATTCCGCTCAAAATTAATGCAGTCCAAACACCAGAAAAAAAATGTGGTCCTGAAAAAGTTAATAATCTTCCCAGTGCTGAACACAAAAACAACCAGTTTTTACTAATTTTGGGGGTGCTGAACACAAAAACAACCAGTTTTTACTAATTTTGGGGGTGCCGAACACAAAAACAACCAGTTTTTACTAATTTTGGGGGTGCTGAACATAAAAATAATACTAACATTTTTGACTGACTCTTGTTTAGGAGATTTAGAGATGGCCATGTATATACTACTCAACCTGCACATAGAGCACTATTGTCAATATTTCGATATGTCATTTTTTTCAACTGCAGAATATAACATACTGTATGAACTGCATCACCAACACATACACACCAATCAAGGGAAGTACTGTTGACCAACTATGTTATACAATCTGCTTTCCGACCAGTTTCACGCGAAGAAGGACTTTCCACTTTCGAACCTCTAAAGGACATTTCCATTGATCAGCTTGCCTTTGAGTGACAAGAACAGATAATAGCTTTTCTACAGCCTTTATCATCTCATTATGATCCATTCTTCTGCTCCGGTGCATCTTCTGTGCCACACATTCTTATCCAAGAAGAAGTGAATGATCTTTTTCATGATTTGGAGCTGTCCAAGGTCAGAGCAGAGTTACTTGCATTAAGACTTAAACAAAGATATCTCATCAAGAAAAATGTCAGAGTAATTTTTTTTCGCAATGTCATGGTTAGTTTGCACTTTATTTCAGAAAACAAAATGATCTTGTATTCCGCTTCAGTGTAGATAGTTTGACCAGGCAAGAGAGGCACATAGGACATACAAGAAGTCTTGTTAACCAGCACAAGACTGGTGTTTTTAACCATGGTATGCTGATGTATATGTTGAGGGGGGTGATCTGAGGACCTATAGAATGTGTCTGGAGTAAAGATAACCCAACTCATAACATACCAGCTCATATGACTCCTTAAATATAAACCGACATAAAACATCTAAGAGTACAGCTGATCGAATCCAGCCACATTAAATGTTAATATTTTGAAAATCTAATGATATTTAAAAAATAAAAAAAAAAACTGCGTTCTGCAACATCTATTCACCACAGATGAATTAAAATGAGAAGTATAAGAGAGATGTGTGTTATCCCCAAGCCTTTTCAACTCATACAAAGAATACATTTTAAAATGTTGGAGAATGCCTGGACTGAATGTCAAAGAAAAAGAATAATAAACAATCTGAGATGCGCTGACAACACAGTGTTACTAGCAAAAATTGAGCAGGATTTACCGGATCTAGTGGACTAAGTAAACAGGTGGAGTGCAGAGTTTGGTTTAGACCTTAATATTTAAAAAAACAAAATCTGTGATAATTAATAGTGAAAAAGATCGGCCAACAGTAAACATCACAGTAAATGGAGAGATATTAGAACAAGCAACACGTGTCTTTTATCATGGACACGTAATAACATATGGTGGCAGCAGTGAAACAGAAATGTAAAAAGAGAATAGGAAGGGTTAAAAAAAAAAGCTTAAGTAAGATGCAAAAATTATTGTCAGCTAGAGAGATGAACAACACATTAAAAATCAAATGTTGTGTATGCTCAGCAACTTGGACAATGAACAGGCAACTAGACAACTGGTGACTGGAAATGTGGATATGCAGAAGAATAGATTGTATTTCATGGAAACAAAAGCAGCCAAAGACAACTGTTCTGGAAAAGGAATCACTGAAAGAAATAAAATAATACAACTGAAATATTTTGGTCACATTAAAAGATGTAATATTCTTTTATAAACCAAATTGAGGGAAAAGTCACAGACAAAAGAACAAGAGGTAGGTAACGATACAAATGGGAGGACAAAATCAAGAAATGGACAAACAGCAGTATCAGAGAGTGTGCTACCAAGACAACAGACAGAGTGTTTGAGATCCATTGCAGCCTATGTTAATTGTGGAGACAGCACGTGATAGACTGATTGAAAGCTGCATTAAAACACACTGACTAACAAAGCTCCTTTGATTTTGAACTAATCACTTTAACAGTTATTTTTAAATGATGAATATATGGAATGTAGAACTGTGGGAATTGATAATATACATTTAGACCAATGAGCAAAATGTGAAATATTCAAAAGACTAGAATAAAACTTATCACAAGGAAATTAATCTCATAACAAAGATTGAAAGTGAAGAGGAAAAACCATAGACATATAATGGATCACTCAGGCATAAAGATAGGTAGTGGACAAGTACAGTGATCTGGTAAGATGTGAATCTACATACAATTAAATGAAAACTAGATTCACATGAAAGCATCAAACCAGTAATCAGTCATAAAATTTATTGCTGGTCTGCAAAGATAAGGTTAAGTGGCTAAAACTACCTTTGGGGGGAAAATAAGAATTGACCTTTTTGCTTTCCTAAGAAGCATGTCATAAAAAGTGACTTATCAGAATTTAGATGACAAATGCCAAAGATATTGCAGTTTAGCTGCAAACCACAATACAACATGCCAACCATCTTTTAAAATGTAAATTCAGGAAGCTAAATGGTTAAAAATATTCTTGTTATTTAAGACCCAAAGAAAAATTTTCTCCACATTTATTACCTCAGTTCATTACCCTAACAGTTCCCTAAAAATTAAAGAATCTCATATATTTCACTATCGCAGAATAAGTTAGTCTTTTCCTTATACAGTTATACCTTGAAATTTGAAAATAATCCTTTCAGAGACTGCATTTAAGTTCCAAACTGTTTGAGGCAATTTTTCAAATTGAAAAAATAGAATTTAAAATAATATATTCCAGAGTCAAACAAACTCAAATTTTAAAATGTTTTTTCCTTAGTAGAATACACTGTAAATATGGTAAAACATGGTGAGCCTATTTGAATACAAACATAAATAAATTAAAAAAAAAAAATATAAAAACATTTAATCCTAATTAAAATGGTGACAGCAAACAGAACTAGGAGTAGGAAGGGAGATTAGTGTTTAGAAGGTGAGTCACCTTCCATGATAACAATAATCATTTCTGCTGTTCCACATCTGGTGTTGTCAAACATTTTGTTTTAAATTGTTCGATAATGTTAACATTAAATAAGTTAACACTCTCAGGATGCCACCTGCACACAACTTCTTACAGTTTCGACTACATGGTCAGAAGATCTTAGATTTCAACAGTGTTTTCCCCATCGGAAGACATTTCTTTTGCAAATTTCTTCATTTTGCTGCTGGGGAAGGAGCTGAAACACTTGCAATGTCAGTTCAGCAGCGGGATTGACACATACCAGGTGTACAATTCCAAGGCAATGTTCAAGTTCCAAAGCAAAATGTATCTGAAATTTTTGTTCAGATTCGAAGTTTGAGTTTTGAGGCATTCAAATTCTGAAGTACTCATTGTAAATATTTGGAAAAAAATCAGTTACTGAACTTTTATAAGCAACTGTCGTACTGTACACCTAATAACAGTTGGGAGCAACACAATCTCCTCACAACAGTATCAGCCATTATCAATACCTTTAGATGGCTCCTAAGCAGTATGGCACAGTCACATCAGCTTGCTCCATTACAGAAACCCAGTGTAATTTTATACCAAGTGATTCTGCAGTGATAACTTTTCATGTATTGTTAATTGTCACTGTCACCATTACAGATTGACATCTCTTATTCTATACACACAGACCACCAGTTTGAGCAAACATTCAAAACCTTCAGAAAATGATAAACATGTTGCACTTGCAAACACTGAATTTCAACCGATAACTTTTTTCCAACAAAATTATGATTGCAAATTCACGAGAAACCATTTGGCTGATTTGGACTGTCTGTTGATGAAAAACCAGTCAATTGTATCATGGGTTCCATCTCTTCTGACTCTAGTATAATATTGTTTTCAGATGTCCTAACACTGTTGTGTGTTCTCATGGAAAATGAGTTCACAGAAACATCTTTGTTTAAAGAATTCACACCTTTGATGAAACCATTACCAGAGCTCTCACGTCTCTCCGGAAAGTATGTACCTGAAGCATTAGACTCACGTCCTCTGGAAAGGTATGTAACTAATGTCAGACTCTGGCTATTTTTTCGACTTTGAGGAAATTGGTGGAGATGGTTCAAGCGAAATCTGTGCCATTTTTTCCGTATTTCACTTTGTACCTGTCAGGAAAACATGAAATAAAATAAGGTGGATATAAAAATATGATAACAATCTAGCACTTTTCAAATAAAGCCCTCTAAAGTTTATGACAGTTGTTGAGAAATAAGACAAAATATTTTGAAAGTCCGAAGAACTTTATATAGAAAAGAAAAAAGTGATTAGAATTTAGCAATTACTTTAGTGCGTTGAAATGGGTTACAAATTTAAAGAAAAAACAACAACTACAAATTCAAAAATATTGCGAGTAATCCAGATTAAATAAACTATACAGTGTCACCAAATCACCATCAATCAGCAAGTCTTTGCAGAAATAGCTCTCTTCACGACACGCCTGAAAGTATCCCTTTCCCAGGCCAGCTATTCAGCCCCATGTGCTTTTAGTTCCAATGCATCTTCGTAGAGATCCACCCCTGCTGCACCTTCCGCAAAGTGCGCTCTCCATTGTCACCAAACCGACAACTTTTATAAGTCTTTGTAAACATTATTTAAATAAAACAATGGTGAAATATGTTGTAAAATAAACACAGTATGCCTTGTCAGGCTGTAACATTTCACAGAAGAAATAGGACAAGAAGGTGATTATTAACTCTAAAATCATCAGACAGACAGAGGGATAGAAAGCTTTAGGTCTGAATATCAGGTTCTAACCTTCTGCTATATTATTTAAAAGATTGTAATACATCTTCATTTTCTCTACCTAACCTAAGCAAATAATGTAACAAATCAGAAGTGTTTAAATCCATGCATAAATTAATTTATATAGTAACTGCGAGATAACTGTTTAAACAATTAGGCTCTACAGAATATGAGCTCATGCTGTCAAATTTTGCATTTTAGACTATACAGCCTGTTAGGTTAATTTTGAGTTGCAATGTCTTTCTTATATTTACTCAAAATGACCTTGGCTCCCAGAGCAACCTTGCATAAAACAGATACCAGATAAAGTCCCAGAAAGTAAAGATAGCTGACGTACCGACTCTAGTTGAATGATTATATCAAATGTATAATACTGTGCAGACTTGTTAAGGAGAACTCACTAGGGACCCAAAAAAATGGTTCTTCTTATCAAAACTTTCTGTTTTTCAGATAGAGATCAAGCAAGAAATGTTGCTGAGGATAAACAAATTGTTTTTCGCAATAGAAATTTGCCACATCCAAGATCATCTTAAACTGTCCTCACTATTTTATATTACTATTTTTTTTTCCAGTCCACTAACATGTTTAGAATGAGTAAACGTAATATAATTATTCTTTTCCATTATTGACAAAGAAGGGTAAATATTTTGAGATTCAGATTTTTTATAGACCTGTCATCATTCAACTGGTGATGTGGTCAACAACTCTTCAGCCACCATTACTTTCTATTTTAGGTTGTGTCTATCTAGGAGCTAAAATCATTTATAAAATCTGCACTGATGCAGATTCAAACCCAAAACCTCTAGAATGACAAACAAACATCTAGCCAGAGCGCAACCGTAGCTCTCCAACATTAAAAATATCATGTGTAATATCTTACCTCACCATTCAGAAAGCAGAACAGAAGAGCTACAAAGAAACCCTGAAAAAAAATGAAAAAAAAAATCCATTACACATTGTACAATGTATGCAGTTGTTTTAGATCAGTGGTTCCCAACCCGTGGGTCACGACCCCTTTGGGGGTCAAACAACTCTTTAATAGGGGTCGCCTAAGACCATCGGAAAATACACATTCAATGAAGCTATGAAGTAGCCAAAAAAAAAAAAAACTTTTTTTGGTTGGGCCTCACCACAGCATGAGGAACTGAATTAAAGGGTTGTGTTATTTGGAAGGCTGAGAGTCACTATTTTAGATAAATGGCAATTAAGTTAAAAATTATCAACAAGATATGTCTGAATCTTGCAGGAAATGTAGCTTTGTGGGAGATAGTGATATCTGAATGCTGAATATCTACAGTCATAATATTTAATTGCCAAAAATAACTGCCAGATTACTATTTTTGTGGTGCAGGAAAAAAGGGGAGGGGATCTTTGAGCCTGAGGATTTAGGACCAAATGGCTAGTGCTGTCACCACAGACTGTGCCAGTTAGGATTTTACTTTTTGCCATAGACAAAAAAAATCTACAAACTCAGAGAGGATTTCACCAGGGTCTCCCGCATGAGAGTGAGTCTACCGCTATTAACCATTTTGCCAGTCACTGCTTGTAATAACTAACTACTGATCTAAAACCTATTAGTGAAAATGTGGATCTTGCTTCAGGATTCACACTGACAATATTGTAAGTACAGCTGACTGACTCATCCAGACATGGTGAGCTTGTGTATGAAACGACTATGAACTGTAAGCACGGGAAATAAACTTCATATGTCATAATAGCCACAATCCGTAAAGAACTTTAACTGTGGTTTTCCGATATCATTCTAAACTTAGAAACGGTCTGAAACAACCACAGCAGCACTTGATGTTCTCTCGTTATGTGATCAGTCACTAGTAACTGATAAATATGTACTGATTTGTTGCGTAAAGAGTGACTCAATATTCTTTATGAGCTCATTCAGTACTTGTAGATTTCATGTTTGACTCAGAAGAAAGGCCAGACGGACATATAATTAAACTGCTACTGGCACCAATCAGAACTAGAACTCTTCAGTGGCTGTTGAAGATGAGAGCTCTTATGGAAATGTCCCGAGTGCTGAGATGTCTTAGCTAAGCACTCAACATGTATGATCCCCCAGGAAATAATAATAAGGAAAATGCTGAGGTCTGGGTGCTTAACAGTGACAAGTCAGATGAGACAGATGTGGTGATCTCCACAGACGGGTCCATTATACGAGAACATAAAAGTGCATTGGCATTTACAGCTCGCTCTTCAGGCAGAACAGTTCAAAAAGCCAGCGGTGTCTTCTCCATGACTACCAGCAATGTGACAATGGAGGTGATGGCAGTGAAACAAGCTTTCATGTGGCTAGAACCACAGGACTATTCCCGTGTGTGTTTGCTGAGTGATTCTCTGAGTATTATCCGGCAGGTCGAGGCAGGCTGGTTAAACAGACAGGGGGTTGAGTCATTGCAAAACTCTCCTGTGTGTGCAGTTACCTTCATATTTGTCCCAGGGTATACAGGCGTTGTTGGTAATGAAAGAGCTGATAGATTGGCAGGTGTTGCATTATTGAAGATGGCGGGTCCATGGATCACGCAGACATTGTCATTGCCCTTAGAGAGATAGGAGGTTCTGAGGATTTTGGAAACAATGTGTCCACATCACTGCTAAGAATATGAGAATTGGGAGTAAAGATCGGCACAGCCAAGCATGACGGATGCACACGAAGTCTTGTTAACCAACATAGGACTGGCACTATTAGCCGCGCGGCGCTGATGAATATGTTGAGAAGGGAACCTGAGCACATATGGATGTGTCCAGAGTGCTGTGAAGATAATCTAACTCATAACTCAACGAGGAAAAAATAACACGACTGTAAGAGATGCAATAAAAGCTTTGCTTTATGTCAAAGTATCTAGATATCTTTAGCATGTTTATTCCAAATTAAAGATATAACACACAGTGAATGCATTGTGTGATACATTTGAATATAGTCCGCTTCTTCTTAACTTCCTCTTTTACTGTTTTGAATGTTAAGGGAGATAAAATTTGTTGTTATCACATTTCTAGCCACCCTGACCTTGGTAGAGTTTCTCTGATGTGATCTTTTTACCTTGACCTTGGTAGAGTTTCTCTGATGTGATCTTTTCACCTCGACCTTGATAAGTTTCTATGATGTTATCTTTTCACCTTGATTCCTGGTATGCAGCAGGCTCCACATCTCACTCTCCTGGTTGTGTATGTGTGCATGTATTTATAAATGTATGGATTTGTGTGTGTGTGCATGTTTGTGTGTGGTATGTATGTATGTTTGAAAGGTATGCATTTACAATCCATGCTTTTGTGTATTTTATTTGATGGTCATAGAATGTATATTCTTATATAAACATAACATGCTTTATAGACAACATACAACTGCATTTTGAAAGATGAATGTTTAGAAGAGCAAAATGTAAGACCGGCTGGCATGCCTAAACTATTGCTCTTTAAAAATAAAATTCATTTCTTCATTTGCTCACCTGTTGATACATACCTTGCACGGAATGACATTACAAAAGTTCTCTGTGGGCATTTTATTTCCTGTATTTATAGGTAACTTAGTACTGGTTCTATGCCAGCTTTTGCTCTTATCACCACAGTTGGGGGGGGAGGGGGGGGGGTGGGGGGGGGGGGGGGGGGGGTTTTTTTTGTCTGCTTATTCTCACTACCTTTAGCAGATGCCTCATGTCTTTAAAAAATAATTTTCATTTCCCCCCCCCCCCCCCCCCCCCCCCCCCCCCTTCCATCCCTCAACCCCAAAGTTTTAACTTTGTATTATATCTTTGCCAGTTATTGAAATTAAAGACTAGTGTCTGTGTGAGGCGATAGGTTTCTATTTCTACTCATCACTTGTCTATATAACAAAGAGTATTCTTCAAGTATTCTGATCTAATGTTGAAAGTACTTACTTGAAATGAGTTGAAAAACATTTCAAAATAAAGCTGAACCAGCTCAGCTACTGGATGGATATCTTTTGGAAGCCATGCAAACACAATATAATGAACTCCAAACAGCGGAATGAGCACTAATGTTGATTTTGCCAGTTTTCTGAAAAAAAAAAAAAAATTATTTAGTGACAGTAAACAGTTTATTTTAATAGTTTTTTTTTAACCTTATATACCATCCCCTAACCTTTTTAACCCCCCCCCCCCCCCCCCCCCCAAAAACATCCTCACCTTTAGTATAAAAGTTACCTACCTGTGGATTTTAAAAGTCATAAAGTCTCTAAGGATTTCTCTTTCCAACCATGCATGCACAAACTTACAGTTGATTTAATTTGATTTGATTTGATTCAAGAACTGACATCACAGCACTCGGGGCATTCTCATAAGCGCTCCATCCCCATATTCAGCAGCCAGTGAAGAGTTCCGATACTAATGATGCCAGTAGCATTCTGATTAAACGTTCGTCTTGCCTTTCCTCTGAGCCTCGAGCGTCTGCCAGAACCTCTCGTCACTTCCCCCTGCATCAATCTCACCACACTGTGGTGATCCATCTGCTCCTCCGAACTGTACACACTCTCCCCCAAGGCACTAACCACGTCTGCCTTATCATGCATCAGTATTCCACCAAGTTGTGCAGAGCCAGCCAGTCTGTCTGTCTGTTCATTTCCCAACACACCAGTGTACACCAGTGAAAAAATCCAGACAATACTCCTCACCCATGTCCTACGCAGCGAAGCATGCCACTCTGCACGAAGCATATCTGTCCTGATCTTCCTCAGTATGCTTTCTGAGTCAGTTACGATCACGATGTGTGTGTGTGTGTGTGTGTGTGTGTGTGCGCATGCATGCATGTGTGTGTGTTTGTGTGTGTGTCATGTTTTCTAACCAGCGGAAAGCTGCAGTGATGGGCTCTACCTCCATTCTTAAGCTGGATGTTATAGTATCATTTGCTAGGCTCTCCTGCACCAAACGTCGACCATTAACTTTTGCTAATAAACCCCAAGCACTTCTTTTGCCTCTTGACTCTAAACCGTCTGTGTAAATTATTAAATCCTCTGAGCGAGCATTATCTTGAATTTATTGCTGAATTTCCACCTCTGTGGCACCTGCTTGCCAGTCTCTGCATTTCCGGTTCAGTGTGATTATGACCCTACACAAGTCTGACTGTTCAGGTGGCACTTTGACCCACTCCTCTGCTCGCCTAATGTTCTTAAGGATGCAAGCCTGTCTGATTGTGTCTTCTGCCTGAGCCATCCATGACTTCCCTCTTATCAGCCGCAACACACAGTTTAAAAACAAAGAAACCGTAAAGGATCTTTTCCATGCCTTTAAACGTATTGGACATAGAGGGTTAGACCTATATTTCAGACTTTTTTTATAGACCAATAGGCACTCATTAATTACTCGCTTGACAATGGTATTGAAACCTGAGCCAAAGTCGCCAAGAAATAAATGAAACAATATGCTCTTTAACTGCACTAAACAGAAGAAAACATGCTAGAGTGAAAATTTCTATCAACATGTCAGGCATTATCCAAAACTGAGAAATCTAATAAGGTGTACAGATATAACTATAAGTGTATATTCTATTTATTCTCTAGCTAATTACTAGATTTATATAATAGGGTACAATTTGATTATTTCTGGAGTATCGACATGATGGCAGGGGTACACCCAAAATGCTGGAATGTCTGACTGACTAAATTGGAGAATTCTGTTTTATATATATATATATATATATACACACACACATTTATTTTATTTTTTTAAAATTTGGGCTATTAAGTTAAACCTGTAGTGATTATTTTCTTTGTGTTTATCAAAATTTGTTTACTTTAGAATAGTTTATACATTTTTAACTTGTACATGTTTTTTCTGTTCTGTTTAAAGTTCAGTTCAATAAAATATGCAACTGAAGTAAATAATTCCACAACTTATTGGGAGTCTGTAAACAAATAGCAATGCTGAAGTTTAGCTCAGGGAAGAGGTGGACTAGAATGAGTGACTGCACAAGTGTGATTCATCCTAAATACAGGCCTGTAGTTGAGGTGACTATAATGTCCTGATCTAAAAACAGGACATAACACTGATAATCTAAGCTGAAAATAGGACATCCCACTAATATGTTGAGCTGAAAACAGGACAGGCAACTTATATTTTCAGCTGAAAACAGGATATCCCAAGTCAGTTTAACCCTTTCCACACAATTTTTGTTCTAGGTCATAGAGATGAATGGGTTAACTACTTGCTTTACGATGGTATTAAAATCTGAACCATCGACATAAAGAAAAAAAAAAAACGAAAAAATATGCTAGAGTGAAAATTCCCATTAACCCATGTCAGGCATTAAATATGTATAAAACTAATGAAATCTCATATGGTCTACAGATATAACTCTAAGAGTATGGTCTATTTTTGTGTTTTTTGCTAGATTTTTATAGACAGCACAATTGACACTTTTTGGAATACCGACGAGATGGCTGGAGCACCTTATAAAAACATGATAGTCCCAGTTAAAAACAGGACATGTGGTCACCCTACCTGAACATGATAAAACTAATCCCCACACATGAACACTTATTTTTTTTAAATGTGAAGTGGTAAGGACATGAAGTTTCCGCATTTGTTCATTATATCTTTAGTGCATTCATTCATTCATTCAGTAGCATGTCCCTCGCGGAACCTCGCTGCCATAACAACCCTCTGGAAAACCTTCCTATCCTGAGCAAGATGTCCTGCATCTGATACACCCATCTGGAGATCATCTGCCACATCCTGCACCCATCTTCTCCTTGGCCTTCCTCTTCCTCTCTTCCCAGGCATATACCCCTCCATTATTGTTCTCTCTAGACTTCCATGACGTCTCGTGACCAAAATATTTCAATTTTCTTTGTTTTATTGTCTTTACTAGCCAACCCTCTTCAATATTCAGCTCTTGAAGTATGGATGCATTTGTTCTTTTCTTTACCCAAGATATTCTTAGAACCTGTCTGTAACATTTATATTCAAATGCATTTATGCGCTGTTCAGCTTGTTTAGTAAGTGTCCAGGTCTCACAGGCGTATGTTGCAATGGGAAAGATGCATGCTCTTAAAAATCTGACCTTTGTAATTCTATCTGTACAATTCCATAATTTATCCAGTTGTTTTAGTCTTTGAAGAGCAATTGATAGTCGCCGTTTAATTTCTTTCATTGTGTCACCATTGTTGGTAACCAGTGACCCAAGATATTCGAAATTTTCCACCACTTCCAATCTTTCCTCATTAACATATATTTCCTTCTCCATGGCAGTTTTGTTTGTATGCATTATCTTTGTTTTTGCTATGTTAAGAAATAAGTTATGATTTTCACTATTTCTTTGGAGTGAGGTTAATAAGTTTTCTAAACCATTTTGTGATGTTGATAGTAATACTGTATCATCAGCATAACGAATTTCTGGTATTTCATGACCACTGATGTTTAGGGCATCATATTGTTCCTTGTTTATATCATCTCTTACATTTCTCATTATATTTTCGGCGTACAGGTTGAACAAATACGGTGACAGCACACATTAACAACATCTAAACTGCCATTCATATAAAAAAGAAAAGAAAAGAAGAATTACATATTTCTGGAAGAATTAATGTATTATTAGCATGTGTGAGTTAGTAAAACTGCAAAATGAGGTCTTTAAATAATGATCACTAGAATAGTCAAGTAAATGACAGCTATCACATGTTTATAAATAAGTATATGATTATCAAATACCATAATGCATCAAAAATAGTTATGGTTTTTATTTAGTTTTTTTCTTAAAGCATTTACCAAATAGTAAGTGTTAGTTTTTTTTTTTTTTTTTTAATTTTCTTGAAGCAATTAACAAAAGAGCCAAATCATCTACTGATGTTTTCAATACAGGAGAATTTAAAAAGGAAAATCCAGTGTTTGCAATAGTTTACTTTAGAAGATGGGGACACAAGAGAAATACTGCACAATATATTGCCTGAAATATATTAAATTCTACATTTTTTTAAAACTCCCAACAGGAACAATTGTCTGAAACAACTAACTTTCACAGTATTTCTAAGACTTTTGTTCAAGCGTTACTCTTGAAACTATATTCTTAACAAATAAACATTTGTTGAGAGTAACTAAGCTGGTAATCAACACAGATGACTCAAACAAAAAGTGAACTATTTTTTGTAACAAAAAGAAAGTATGGGTTTTAGAGCTATATATTTTGCACACAAAAATCATTAATATTGTACACACAAAAATGATGTTTGATGCTGTGCACAGAATTATCAGATACAAGCATATACATAAGGCAGTGAGTTTTGTTGAATCAAAACATTTACCAGCCCCTTATATAACTTTTCTGAATAAGAAAATCTTAAAAATGATATGATGAGAAAAACAGATCAATAACATTTTCCTAATGTTGTTGACAAGGAGACTGCAGTCATATAGAGACAAAATATTACATGCTCTATAATTCTTATTTTGAATTATTTCAGGTTATACGGCATGGCATTAGCTGCACGTGCAAAAGACAAGAAAAACAAGCACACACATTCTATTTGCTAATGGCCTATTCAAGTATAATAACGCAGATGTAACAGCATTATTAAGCCACCATTTCTAAAAAAATAGATTCAAAACATGCAGAAGTGACTGATGGATGCAAAACATGCACTAATAAGCCCACTGATACAAGCCAAAAGCAGATGATATTTTACACAGAACACAGCACTAATAAAACCAATTAATAATTTAAAGAGCAGATAATGTTATACATACATATACTTGCTTGCATTTAAGAATACACAAAGTCAATAGTATATTAAAATGGAGAATAAAAATAGCCACCACCTTAAAACATTGAACAGCCACAAATGAAACTAGATACTTAACACAAATTTGGCCTTTTATATAGCTTAATGTAAACACACAGGACCTGGGGATAAAGGATTGTGAGTAAAAGCTATTGAGATTTAAATATGAGAAATGAAGAAAACTGAATATCACAAATTACAAAACACAAAGTTATAGCATTTCCACTCATTGTGAAGAAATGTGTTTTGAATGCAAGAAAACAGTTAGGAAAAGATAATAAGCTACAATTAAATATGTTTGATGATATTTCTCCAACAAGAAAGGCACATTCATAGACAAAATATTTAACTTTTTCAGTACCAGACAACTCATCTTATGATTTTTGATAATTTCGTACATAGAAAGCAAAGTTTTCTGACCAATTCTTTTGTTTCATTAACCTGCTTTATCACTGCTTTTATTTTAACAATTTCTGTAGATAACAATGCCGTCCCCATGTGGAATGTAATTTTTTGTTATTTGAAGCCCTACCTGGCTTTTGCCGGGGACCGTAAATATAACTGGACCATAATTATGGCCTAACGGCTGAACAGGGTTTGTAGGACCTCTCCACGGGTGATCCTCATAGGCATGGTGGCACTTTGTGTCACCGCGTCAAGGCTTTGTTTGATGTCCTGGTGGGGTACAACTTACATGCATACAATTTCTGTCTCATTATTGCATTGCTTCAACTCATTAAGGCTGACAGAGACGTCTGGCGATCTCTCTGGCAAACCTCTACACCCCAAGGTAAGTAAGTAAGTTCAACTCATTAAGACTAGAAGTTTGGGACTAAATTAAATAGACTTTGTTTTTATTTCCCCCTTTTGGATTGCAGTCTGTAGGATTAACAAATCAAGGACAAGAATCAAACAGATACAAATCCCAGACGCCCTGTTTAACCACATAGCTATATATCACACTTATACTAGGGCACCAAAAAACAGTTATGAAGTAGCCTGTAGTCCAGTGTGGGTGGGTTTTGTATGTGGAGGACTGAATGTTTTCAAGTAACTAATGTCTGCAACTGAAAGGGTGAAGCTTAAAGCCATATATTAAATGTAGAATACTATAATTTAAAACTGACCATAAATCAAAAGAAAGCATGAGAAATTTCAGTAGGGAAGTATTTTAAAGCAGATACATTAAAACAGTTAGGCCTAAGAAAGTGGTTGCCAGCTTCTTGCAAATGATAGCTTAAATAAAAATAATTTTTTGCAAAGTAGAAGTCGTAGAAAAATGTTTTTGGAAAAAAAAAAAAATCACAAATCACTGTAGTTTTTTGTTAACAGAAATATAGTTAAAATATTTACAGACCTAAGATTATTTTCCAACAATAATCTATATATTTACTTTCTATGTCGTATGAAGTAGTTAAACATGGAGTGAAATGAAACTGAAATTGACCTTGACCTAAGTATTAAACTGCTAATTGCTGCATAAATTTACAATAAAAATTATCTAAAGAATTAACTGAATTAAACCATCATAGGGATCAGTGCGTTAGAGCAGTCGATGAGAAGCTCGCTTTCAAATCCAGCTGCGACTCGCTGCAGCCCACGGTCAGTGTTCAAAACCGGGCGGCTCCTGGGGTTCACCCAGCCTCTAGGAAATGGGTACTAGAGTTGACACTCTGGAGTAAATGGAGGAATGTCGCTGTAGCTACAGAGTTATGTGCGAACGATGACACAGGCGGACAATCCTTATCAGCTGTCTGTACTGGTGGCAGAGTACTTATAGTTTATAACCATGTGCAATGACGCTGGTTCACATCTCCCGACTTTACCTTTAGTTAAGTGTTAAGAAAATGTAAGACGACAAGCACACACACACACACACATACAAAATGACAGTGAAGTTTAAAAAAAAAAAAAGACTTTCTACTTCCTGCAAATACTGAGTATATTGTGATAGCCCTATGTTTTTACAGGCTAAGTGACATTTGGTGAATGATTTGGTCGATATGACACAGCTTCTTCTACTTCCCAGAAGATATCCTGTTTCAATTTTACACTAGGTTGAATAAGAAGCCCTATTTTATTTTATTAAATCCCAATTTAATGAGGATTCAAACATATAACCACTGGACTGGCCTTCATGCCTTTAGGTGCATCAGGCAAATGAAAAGAGCACCCATATTTTTACAGACCAATCAGCACTAGGTGGATAATGTGGTCAGCATTACGCCGGCCGTCGTGCAACTTTTTACAGATTTAATAATGTTAATAACAATCAAAACAGTTAACTAAGTATAAAAGAAAAGAAAATTCATAGCTAAATACTCAGATACTACTGTACTTAATTTATAAAACATTAGTTACTAGTCAAAAGTATTACACTGTTTGGTGGTTGGGGGAGGGGGGGGGGGGTTGATAGACCCACCACCCCTTAACAGACATGCCACAAAAAGTAACTAATTAAGGATTTGCTGAAATTTGATGTTTTTGGGCCAAAGCTGCAGGTATCACAGCCTAGCTGTAAACCACAACATAACATGCCAACCATCCTTTTACGGGTGAAGGCAAAAAAAGAAATTAAACAAACATCACTATCCAGTGTCTGAAAATACAAAATCTACTTACCTGTACCTGTATTTCTTAGCTTCCGGTGAATGGACAGCATTGAGTTTTGTGAATAAAACACGGATGATGTTCAAGAAAAATAGAAAATTAATCTGTGGATTTAAATAAAAGATGCATTCTAGGGCACTTCATATCTAGGGTGTCAGTGATGAAAAGCATATTAAATTTAATATCAATCAATTTTGAAACCTGATCAGTGAAAGAGAAATAAATGGCAGGGTGCAGGTAATTTATTTTTGTTTTTTTAATTATATGAATAATATGTGTTAATTGTGTGCATACTCCCAGACATATAATTTGTTAATGAATAATATTGAGACAAAACAAAAAACAAAATGAAAATTAGTCTAGTCAGGGGAAAAAAAATGAAAGTAATGATAATTAGAAAATAATAATAATCAGAAGGTAATGATAATTAGAAAGTAAACATTTTCTCTAAAATGCGACATTAATGTGAGACTAATCTGAAGCAAATTAGTAAGTTCAAGAATGTGGGTAATCTGATAATAGCAGGCAGAAGATATATTAATTAAGGAAGTTGAATGTACAATTGCTCAAGCAAAACAGTTTCACAGAATAAAGAATATTTTAAAGCAATATATATTTATCAACTGAGATTGGATATGGCAGCGTAGTGGTGAGATGCTTGACTGCCAACATAAACGTCTCGTTTGGTCAAATCCACACCATGGAAAGTTTTGTTGCAAAACGGATCGTGGCTTCCAAGTTCACCCGGCCTAAGATGGGTACTGGAGAATGTCCTGGGAAGTCAAGGTGCCTGGCATGATGTTGATCACATCACTCACTGAGTGCTGATCAGTCTATATAATATCATCAGTCATCACTTCTCATTATGCCTAGTGGCACACAAGGCTTCAGAGAGGACTTTCCATGCTTTCCTGTCCTGTGAAATCTTCAGTGCAGTTTTCCATGTCAAAGATGACGTACTCAGGTCACTTTCCATCGTTCGTCTCCATGTTGTTTTTGGGCGCCCCTGTTTTCTCTTTCCCTCTGGTGTCCATGTGAGAGCTGTTTTGGCAGGTATATCAGAAGTCATTCTCATAACGTGGCCAAACCATTTCCATCTTCTCTTGGTAATCTATATGAGTATGGTATAACATGTCCAAGGAGTGGCTGGCTGAACAGTTAGAACACTGGGCTCTCAAATGAGAGACCCGGGTTTAAATCCTCAGTAAGGATGGGGTTTTTTCTGTCAGGGACAACAATGAAATCCTAACCTGCACAGTCTGTGACAGCACTAGCCATGAAGCCATATCAGGCTCTAAGCCTACTCCCACCCCCTTCCCCCATCTACATAACAAAAGTGGTAAATACAGGCAGTAATGCCATTTTATCATATGCCTGGTAGGCACTGGCATAAAAAGGGTCCTTTAGTTTTACTTACTAATAAATAGGTTGAAAACAGGTGTTGATGAGAACGACATAGAGCTGATTCTGATGTAGAGAAAGGAATCATGGGCAGTCAGCTGGTAAGTGAGAACTTATGTGGAAGTGTAGGGATGACGTTTTATAGGAGAATGTCTTAAAGGAAAAATTAACTCACAAAGAGCTGTGTTTTCTACACCATGGTGTGTTGCGTGTCTTTTTCTATGAGTTAGTACATTTGGCATTTTCTTTTTCCTAAATTATGTATCAGGCAAGAATGGGTTGTCTCATGAAGTGCATAATGGCTTTTCTAGCCTTTTTATTTGTTTGTTGTTGTTAGTACAATGGCATGTGAATGTTCAAAGCAATGAGATAGCAGATTAGCTGGTGACAACTGCAGTCACTGTGACTGGTCCGACACTGGAATGAAGTGTTGACATCAATGCCAAGTGAAATGCATATTGTAAAGATGAATATAGTAACAGGTACAATTCAGTGTCCCTGTTCACCCTGGCAGTTATGGAAGTGAAACCTGGCTACTAGACAGGAAAATGTTATCAGGGCACAATCTGTTTGACTAATCAACACAGAACAGGTGTGACCAATCATTTTCCACATTTGAAACTATTGAGAAGGATATTGGAATACTTATGGATGTGTCCAGAGTTCTGAGATGATAGTCATCACAAATCACTGATCACTAATTACTTTTCAAACACCCACTCCGTTCAAAATAAAAATCAATTAATCAAGTGCTTGCTTTATAACGAAAGTTGATAGAAAGATCTTCAGCTTTTGTGAAATAACACAATAAAATTCTTTGATGCAAAATTAAAAGATATTCTCACCACGATGGACAGGACTATGGGACCTCGCATTATCCAAAAATATCCTGGAGTTGGATGAGTGTTCCAGCAGCTAGGAAAGAAGTCTTATAATAGATCAAACAGGAAAAGAAAAAAAAGCAACATGCATATTTTACTTCAGTGTAACAAAGAATGAACATAAAAACGTAGTTAGTCAGTCAACAGATCATTCTCTCTGTACATCAAGCCATTCAGTCCATAATTGCTTGGACTCTCTCCTTAGTAAATCTTATAATGTGTAGTGGCTAACAACACCAGTTATATCTTGGTTTATACTTCTTCCTCTCTAGCTTCCTGAATAGTGCTCTTATCTGGCCACAAACCCTCTTAACTTGCTGTTCTTGCAGTATGATCATGGTTGCAGATTGACATTCTCACTTGGTTCTCAGCCTGGTCCATGGCTTGTCTGCCCTCCACTGTAGCTTTACCTGCAAGCCTATCAGCTTGCTTGTTACCTTGTACACCAGCAAACTCTGGCACAAAACTGAAACCAATCTTTGTCAGTCATGACTATCTCAGAAATACCAACTAGTGTTTTGGAGTCCAGCCAATCTCCATCTTTGTAATTACATATAAAATTAAAGCAAATGAATGATTTTTCTAACGTAAGATACTACAGTTAAACCTCATTAACACAAATTCAAAGGAACTGAAAAATTAAAAAGTTCATTTAAAAATAATTGTGCTAACAGGGATCTCAAATTAATACACTTCTGCAGGGACAACCATTTTGTTTATGTTAACCGAATGTTCTTCTTAAGCAAGTTCCCATTAGTGAGGTCATACTGTATGTATTTTAGAGGTATCAATTACCTTTCTATCTCAACATCTCTGAGTTATAAAATATTTTGGAATCAGCATAGAAGAAAATCAGGGATTTTGAATTTAAATGTTACAGTAAAATTTTTTTGAATAATTTGGATCAAATAGTGGAAAAATTCTGACATTCTACCAAATCTAAAATTTTAAGAAAACTGGTTTATAAAAAGCATCATATCTCAGAAACTAAAATAGTTTGGAAATATTAAATGCCATAGAAGCTTTAAAATAAAGTGATGGAAGAACTGGTTTCTGGAAGAAAGGCATGGGTTGAACAGGACACAGCTGAACACAGGATATAGAATACAATATTCTTTTTGTGGGTTCGGAGCCCAATGCTAGGGTAAGAAAAAATATACACCCCCCCCCACCCCCCCCAAGCAAGTCATTAAATGTTACTATGAAGAGTTAGCTTAAATTTGATGCTTGAATCAAAATATACAGATACTGCAGCCAAGCTGTAAACCACAGAAGAAGATGGCTGAACTGAGAACTAACACAACATAGTCTTCTTAGTGTTCCATGATGGGAGTGACTTTATGAAAAAGACAAGCCACATGACCATGATCTTAATACCACTAACGTACATAAATATTAGGAGCATATCTGTTTTGAACAACATATTTTGGCACACATTCATATAATTAAACTCAGACTTCATCTTTAATTAAAAAAAAAAAAAAAAAAAGTAGTTTTTTTAATTCTTACAAGTAAAAAATATAGGCAACTTAATAACTTACTATTCGTCTTCTAACTTTGCTCTAACAATTACCCAGGGCACCACAAATAGAACAGGAGAAGCTGAAATCAAAAACAGTAATTTGTTAATAGTTATAAAAAAAAACCAAATGCACACATTAATGTGATTTTCATGCAGATTTTATTTGTAATGCATGGTGAACCATATAAATGTGAACTCAGAAAGTACTTGTTAAGAATTGACTGTAGCTGAAAAGTTAATCAGAAATTCTGTTCAGATAGCTCTTGAGGCAGTATTTTCTCTAAGGCTACTTTTCTTAACATGTGCATTAATCATCTTCAGATCTCAGTGATGTTCAATTGTTAAAACATGTTACTTTTCTTTGGATCATTCATACTTCTTTTTCTTTTTCACCAGCTGCAAACTCTGGCAGAAAGTTCTAGTTGTTCATCCACCCCTGGACTTTGGTCTTATCCAGAACGAGTTTTGCGTGCGCACCTGTTTTATAGATCTGGCTTATGTGTAATCAGACTGTTGGTTCCTTATCTCTCAGGCATGTGCACTTCAACTTTGAGGGAAACACCTCTAATTAGTCACCTCCAACAACATGCTTGTCTTAGGGGTAGTTTGTCTATCTGTGTTCTTTGTTCTCTAAAATAGGGAGGATCATTCATGCAACACTTATTAATTTCCTTAATTACTAAACTCATTCAATGCCAGACATATTCTTTATCAGTTATGCATGGATTATATAATTATGTATGTGTAATTTATTAATTCACTTTCAGACATTTATTACGTTTACTTTTTTTTGTTATTTGAATGTTTCAATACAGTTGGTTTTGTAGTTTTTTTTAGTCCCTGACATAATCAGTCAGCAGGTCCTTTACATGACGTTGCTCTGGTCATGACACGCCTCAAAGTCTCTCTTTCTCTTATCAATTCTTCAGCCCTATGTACTTTCATAGCCAGTGCATCTTCGACATCTTGTGTCCACATTTCTAGAAGTCGACCTCTGCCCAATTTTCTGGAAAATGCACCCATCACATCCATTTTTGCCAGGTATTATGATGTTTAACATGGCCAAAATGCTTCAGCTTTAAGGACTTGATGCTGTTTATGAACCAATTCTCCTTGAAGTTCTTATCAAGCAGGATGTTGAAGTTTGTCTTCTTCTTGGTACATGGTATTCTAAAAATTTTTCTACAGTATATCAATTCAAAAGCTCTGATTTGTTTTCTTTAGAGACTACGAAGAGTCCATGACTCACATCCATAAGTTGCCACAGGAAAGATGCATGATCTCCAAATGTTTACTTTAACCCATATACTTTCTCGGCCTCTGCATTGCTAAAGCAAGTCTTTTTAATGACTTTTTTTGTACAGTCACCATTGTTGTTCACAAATGAGCCCAAAGATTCAAAATTTGTAACATTTTTAGTCTCTTCATTAGTTTGAATGTGTGGTTGGGAGTCCCAGGGGGTTATTAAAACAATATATGCTTCTTACACCAGTGGCCTCACTGGTCATATGATGCTGGACTCCTAATTTGTATAGACCAACTGGCACACACTGGCTGATTTGATCTGCATCATATCAGCCACTTTTACTTCCCAAGGACATTACCTGGAACCTATTTTAGGCTGAGTTAACCCGGTAGCCAAGGTTATTTTTAAAAACAAAATCTGTCTCTGTGAGGTTACCAAAGCTCCCATCAATCATACTAAGATTATGAAAACTTTTTCAGGTGAAAATTACTAATTCAGTCTTGTCTAGTCATTACTTCTACTCAATATGTTGTTCTTTAAATGTTTTTTCTTCTTCTTTTAATTAATCAGAGTGACGTAATTGTGTTGTGCCTGTTTAAAGCAAAGCTGTGATGTTTACTCCTTTTGACCAACACATACAATTTCATCAAGTATTTGTTGACTAGAATAACTTTCCGGATATGTTTCAATACAGCTATGTTTCCTCAAAATTAGGACCAACCCCAAAAATAAGCTCTGGCAGATTTTTCATGATGCTTCTAATATAAGCCTTGGCCAAAAAGTAAGCCCTAGTTAAGATCATCAGCTAAAATCAGAATCTTGTTGCTAGTCAAAGTACAGACACCACTAGTGTGCACTGGATAATGAACGAATGTGGTTCATAATTCAAGGATGAACGAATGTGGTTCATAATTCAAGGATGAACGAATGTGGTTCATAATTCAAGGATGAACGAATGTGGTTCATAATTCAAGGATGAACGAATGTGGTTCATAATTCAAGGATGAACGAATGTGGTTCATAATTCAAGGATGAATGAATGTGGTTCATAATTCAAGGACAAATTGTGACTAGAAATCAATAACTACGATGAAAACATAATGGAGAGAAATCAGAATGAAACTGTAAAGCATAATTTGCAGGAAGTCATGACTTCTGTGAAGAATTTATGGGATAAAATGACTGATACCTGTGTTACTAATGCACTTTAAGCAGGCTCCACAGACAAGAAATGCTCATTTTTGGAAAAAATTTATCGCTGGAAATGATAGACTAATGGTGGCCAATATTCTACAGGAAAGGGAATTGCAAGAAATTCAGGCCAGAATTCAGGATTTGGAGAGTTATGATGATATTTCAGAAGAAGATGACATGACTGTATTTGAATAAATGCAGAATTATGTACCTCAATAAATTTAGATTTTTGTATCCAAAAACAAAAATTTAAACATGGTGAGGAAATAAACCCTAGTGCCTTTTCAAAAGTGAAAACTTTTATGAGGCCCAGTCTTACTTTTTGGGGTAAAAATATGGAAATTGGTATTTTAGCTCTTTTGGTTGTTGTCCTAGATGGTTTTTAAAATATCAGTTGAAATGTAACCACTTTTTTCAAAGAAAGTTGCTACTTTAACCCAAGATTCATGGAACTTTTAAATAACTTATTGATGTAGAAGAATGTAACCAACAACTGACAGCTAAGGAACTTACCCCAGCCAAGAAGTGCGTACCATTTAACACTGCTCTTTTCGGAGAACACAGCCACAGTGATGAGCATGTGTAGATAAACAGCCTCTGCAAATATCCACATGTAGTTGGCACCCAAGATGTAGTAGAAACATGTGAAGAAGAGCTTGCATTCCCAGTGCTGTTGAGTACGATAGATATTTGAACAATCATTCTGGATGTTTCCTTTACTATTAATATGTCATCACCAGCCTGTTATTCCATTATATATCACATAAGGTTCGTAGTTTATTCCTCTGTTTCCTTCTATCCTGAGCAGTTGTCTTCATATCACATATGTAATGCAGTTGAGCACCTTTGGCCTCTTTCATCAGAGCTTCGCTAGGATTTCTCGTTTCTCCAATCCTTGTGTTTCACATTTCAGTCCATTACTAGCACAATAAACCATTTAAGCCAATGAAACTGGTGCACACACACACACACATAAACAAAGACCAGACCACAGTTATAACCAAAGTATGTTTGAAGGAGGTCAACTTTTTTTCTTCTTTTTTTTTCCTTCTTAAAAAGGAAGGTTATTCTTTGCTCACTTTATCCCAGGATGTGCCTAATTTTATGCTATTTTCTGTGTCTTAAAACTGTTGATAAAATGGTTTTTCAGACATCTCTTTTATTAAGTCACCTTTCTTGAACTCCTTATCATTTAAATTATCGGTATATGTACGTCTTTTAATGTTAAATCTGTACTTCTGTTTGAAGCTTAAATATGTTGAACAAGTAAAATAATTACTTAGAAAAACAACCTTTAAACAATAATTAACAGACTCCGGTACAGAATAAAAGTAAAGGATCCTTCTCTACGCCTTTAGGCTTATAGGGCATGTAGGGCTAGACCTATATTTTATAGACCAATCAGTACAAGATGGGTGATGTAGTCAGCATCACACCAGCCGCCTTTACTTCCCGGGACTGCACCCAGTTCCCACTCAAAGCTGGGTTGACCTGGAAGCCAAGGTCATTTCTGAAAAAAAGTCTGGTTCTGCCAGGGAGCGAACCCAAGACCTTCTGATCTGCGGTGAGCTTCTAGGCGCTCTGCCACAGCGACTCCCGGTACAGAAAAGAGTTTACTAAAAAACTTAAAAGAATCACTACAGTAAAGTACTGGGAGAGAAGAACTAAATAAATTCCAGTGAATCAAGAAGGGGGAAAAACAATTATAGAATTGGATAAAACACACAATGAGAAAATCTGATAACTATAACTAAAATGTCCTTGCACTAGAACTCATTATCAAAGGAATATAGGCAAGCCAAAACACACAGAAAAATAAGGTGAAAAAAATATAAGGAGAACATGCAATAGCAAAGGGTCTGTGTGGAAGATTGTTACAGTATAAATCTTCAAAAGTTTCAAAGTTGTAATCTCAATAAATCTTCAATAGTATCAAAGTTGTAATCTCAATAAATCTTCAAAAGTTTCAAAGTTGTAACCTCACATGCTTATTAGAAAAATAAAACACAAATAATTTGTCTAAGTAAGAATAACGAATAAGAATTATTGATTTAAAACAGTCAGTAATTTACTGTAACAGGAACATTTGCTGTGGGAGAAATTACATGTAACCCAAGCACTGACACAATGGTGTTTAGAATTTAACCACAAGAAAGACAAATATAGCCCATTTCTGCTAAACATTGAACAAACTATTAAGATGTTATTCCACATTGTAAAAATGTACAAATTTGGACATTTAACTATTTTGTTTCCCTACCGAACTCTCATTTTTGAAGACAACAGGTGCGTCCCCATCAGTAATGACATCAGAAGGGAATCCCACACCCTCAACCAAAATATTTTCTTTCATGAACGAGAAAGAGGCTCTCAGGATGAAGGAAGCAAACAGGTTGATGTGAATGCTGTTTCTGGGACAGTGAAGGCGTCTGAGAAGAAAAAAACGTTGATAAGTGAAGGTAAAATTGTATGTGTGCATGGCGTGTATGTGGTTTGTGTGCATGTATGGATTTTTTGTGTTTGTTTTGTCCAAAGGACAGAGTGTTAGCAATGTCAATAAATGCAATCATATAATTATATTTGCAAGAATTTACCAATGTCCCCACACCCCTTTCCCAACCCAGCTACTTAATTCCTTAATCTCATTCTGTTAGTCTTTCCCCTGTCTCTCTTTCTGTCTGTATCTCTCTATATGTATGTTTTCATATCTCTCTCTCTTTCTCTCTCTAGCTTAAATTTGCATTTGTTATCACCTCTCTCTCTCTCTCTCTCTCTCTCTCTCTCTCTCTCTCTCACAGACACTCCCAGCTTAAATCTACATTTGTTATCACCTCTCTCTCTCTCGACTCGTAAGCCAGCATACCGCGATCGAAACCCACTGCAGGCTGCGTGGATTTTTGTCGTGGTATGGGACGTCGCAGGTCGACCCAGCCTAAAATGGGTACCAGGATGGGCTGTCCTGGGAAAGTAAAGACAGCCGGCGTAATGCTGACCACATTACCCACAGAGTGCTGATGGTCTGTAAAAATATGGGACGCTGCCCATATGCCCGATGCGCCGAAAGGCGTGAAAAGGGAACTTTACTTTTTTTTTTTTACTTGGTCCTAGGTCTTTGTACAATTGTTTCTGCAGCCAGGCGATATTGTAATTTGGAGGTGACAGGTTCGATTCCTAGCACTGACGCTATAATTTTAGATTTTTATGGTTTGATTAGTTTGAACAACGGATCAACATCATGACACAAGGGTAGTAACCCATAAGTGCTCCGTTCTTCTTCTAACTCAAGCCTGAGTCTGAAGAATCTCAGCGCAGTGCACGAACTCCGTAGTACTTTTGAGTAGATTTTGAAATCAAAATTTTGCCCGGGCAGCGCCGTTGGGCTGCTCTTTTTGATTTTCAACTGACAAGGGATTTTTAATGTACGCAACAATACACACGGGCGTCCGGTCTTACTACCCACTACCAAGGGGAATTACTAAAAACCCACATGAAAAAAATCCCAGCGATCACCAGGGGCCTGAACCCTGGACCTTCAGCACTCGAGGCGGACGCCATACCTCGAGACCACTCAGCCCCCCCCCCCCATTAATTAGATTTTTATGCTTCTGTTGTGTACTTCTATCTTTCTACTTCTTTCTATGAATGACGAATAATACGTGTATGTTTCTTTATTATACGCAATATGTCTAAGATCTCAGTGGTTTCCTGTCTGTTTATTTATATCCACAATCCCCAGCATATGCTCAAATGTTTTATCAGTGTGTATGACCCTGGGGTCCACTTTATCTCTTTAGATATGGCATCGGATGATTATCAGAGGCTTAGAGGGAATTGTCTATTTTGTAGCATAAAACACATGAAGGCTCAAGACTTTACATCCGAAACTTTTCAAATACCAAAACTATTTAAACAATTGTATCGGGGCTGACAAATATCAGTTTAATATTCGGAATATTCGCGACAGGGCGCACAGGTGTGCAAGGGAATGAGCCAGCTGATAGGTTTGCTGTAGAGCGCAGATGAGATATGGACCACTCTGATATTCTGAATGCTCTACGAAAAGTAAGACGTTTGCGACAACCATGCGATGACTGAATCTGCAAAAATGACCCTGACTGCAAGAACAACATGTTAAAATGGGTGTGGCCAGACAAGAGCACTATTCAGAAGCCAAAGAAGAATAAGAAAGCGACACAGGCCTGGTGAATGGTTCGATGTGCAGTAAGGATAATCTGTTGACTGACTGTCTGACTGACTGACTGACTGACTGACTGACTGACTGACTGACTACCTAACGGATAGTTTTCAAATCCTACATTAAAAAAAAAAATATGCATATGATTAAAAGACTTAACAGTTTGCAACACACGTCCATATTTAGACGTGGATGTAACGAATGTAATAACCGCTTACACTTTCCTTCCTTCCGTCCGTCCGTCCTCCCTCCCTCCCTCCCTCCCTTCCTCCCTCCCTCCCTCCCTCCCTTCCTCTCTCCTCCCTCCCTCCCTCCCTCCCTCCCTCCCTCCCTCCCTCCCTCCCTCCCTTCCTTCCTCCCTCCCTCCCTCCCTCCCTCCCTTCCTTCCTGCTACTCCTCCTCCTCCTGCTCCTGCTCCTCCTCCTCCTCCTCCTCCTCCTCCTTCTTCTTCTTCTTCTTCTTCTTCTTCTTCTTCTTCTTCTTCTTCTTCTTCTTCTTCTTCTTCTTCTTCTTCTTCTTCTTCTTCTTCTTCTTCTTCTTCTTCTTATTCGTCTTTCAGTTTCGTTGTCCGTATATATCTATCGGCAATCGAGGCTTAGATATCTGTTTCGTGCCGAGATGATGTTTTAACTTTCCTTTGCAACAGAAAAAATTCTTTATTTTACCATTTTTAATTACTGTTTACTATTGATTACAGATACGCCACTCGGTTTACGTCTCGCTGAGCATCTACTAGTTAGGAGTATTAACATAGCGAAAAGAACACTCGCTCCATGCTTATATTACTCATAAAGAAACAGTAACGAGCGAAAGCTACCAGTTACCAATAGATGGATGCAAGCTGCACCCGCATTCTCTCAACAGTGAAGCGACGAGAAGGAAGTTGTAACCTGATACCCTATCCAGTGTAAAGGTAATTTATCACGCCTTGCCACTGATAGAGCAAATAAAGTAGGAAATAAAACGAAAGATGAAGGATTTAATAACGGGAAAAGAGAAAGCTGTGAGGAAAAAGCCTGTAAAATATTTCTGAATTATACACAAGGTAGTTACTGGATTGTAGACAAACTGAGATGCAGTCTTGACTTCAACTTTGTTGCCAGTGTCAGAACTGGACATTAACTACAGTTTACAAGAGACAACTGACCAACTGTGACTGAGAAAGACTGCGAATAAAATCAGAAAGAAGAGATCGTGCGGAAGAAAAAAACGAGATTAGAAGAACTATCAGAAAATTACTATTTTTAAATTAATCTAGAAATAAAAGTTTAAATGGTTCGGCCAACTAGTGCAATGAACCCAGCGATGCCGAAAGTTAGAGCCTACAGACATAAAATTGAAAACACCAAGAGGTGAAGGAAGATCTGGAAAAAACCAGGACTGGAGCAGTCACTGACAGCTGAAGACTTCACAACATTACAGCATTCCAATCAACCAAGCTTGCCCTGGCTCGGTTACCTATCATCCGTTTAACTGCGATCCATAACGTCACAATACAGATCCTGCTTTAAGAAAGAAAAAAAAAAAGTACTGGATTTTGCCTCTTTAGTACAAAAGACTGTCTATGTTCAAGTTGTCCACATGACATCAGACACCAGCTTATGGTCTGGTAGCAATATCACACTTTATGCTTAACACGTTTTTCATAAATCACAGTGGAGATAAGAAATGAGATTTAGCCAGTTACACTTTATTAAAGTGTAGATTAGCCAAAGCTTTTTTTTTTTTTTTTTTTTTGAAAGTTTAACTACAAAGGTTTGACACTAACACACAGGACATGGAAATAAATGAGCGGTCTCCAATATATCTATGTAAATATAATAACTGTCTTCAAAATGTAGCATCTGAGCACACAGGCGCCCAGACTTGGGAGAGTCAGGACCCCAGTAACCATTTATATACATTCTCTTCAAATGTCATTTTTATTTAATATTACGAATATTTCAAGTAAAATGTTACATTTAACATATTTCACTTTTCCATTTTGCCATTCAGTAGATAATAATAATATTATTACTGAATAATTAAACCTTATTAACCTTATTGACTAATTAACTACTAAACAAAGCCTAAAATCATTGAGACCCCTCCCTATAATTTTCACGGGGCAGAGGCCTGAAACAATGTAGGCTTTGTTTAACTGCGTAAATGGAAAAATAATGTTTTTTTACTGTTACTATTGCACACTTAAACACAGCGTATGCCCCTCCCAGTCGCAGCAAATTATTGGAGAAGGTTGGGTTTGGAAAGGGGGGAGGGGTGGCGTCACTGCTTCAATTTTCTCTGTGGCGGCGCGTCTGACTGAACGTTCTTAACATATTCTGATGACCTTGGTAAAAAATGTTTCTTTGAGGCTTCAACACGAGACCAACAGAATAGAAAACCCCACAATAGGCAAAGATCTAGACTTCTGAATTTCAGTCTCGTCACAATGAATGATGGACGTCTGATAAGATCGAGCACTAGGCTAGGAGGTATTGGTTGTGTCAGTGAACTTATCTATAAATAAGAAGTCGATTTTTATCGATAACACTTTAAAAAAAAACCAACACAATCATTATCACCTACATAATGAAGAGTGGTATAACGGGACTGCAGATATAGAGATTTAACAGATTAAAATAGCAGTCATATTAGGAAACGGTGGTGTAATGTTTACACACGAAAGAACCAGACTAAACATTTACCACAGAAACAGAGTGGATCGGAGCAGTGAAGTTGACCTTATATTTTTTAAACGACCCTATAAAACAAAACTATATTTATGTTCTTATCATTGATTTGCTTACATTCTCTACACAGCGTACAACATGTAAATATACCGTCTGGCTTGTGTGTGCATGTAGCTGCACCCTACACACTAACACAAATGTAAAATTAAAATTAATGTAATAATGTTAATGGACGCCGGAACCTGGAGGCTGAGCCTAAACCTCCCCTCCCATGCATAACAACAATGTTAATGGGGGGCGGAGAGGGGGGGGGGGGAATTATCCATTAAAACCCCCTGCCCTCTACCCTTGAATTTTACAAGAAAACTGAGCTTCTCTCTCTCTCTCTCTCTCTCTCTCTCTCTCTCTCTCTCTCTCTCTCTCTCTCTCTCTCTCTATCTTTTTCTCTCTCTCTCTCTCTCTCTTCCCTCTATCTCAAGGTTTTGTTGATACATATATTATTATATTTATTTGCAATCTCGCACATTATTAATATTAAAGCCCTTAAACGAGACTTTAGATACTGAGAAGTCAGATGCCCCGTTCCTGATCTTTTTACAAAATGTGTAAATGGACTTAGCCCTTCATTATTAGCGTTATGTAGGTGCCTCTAATAATGTTTGCTACAAGACCTTTTCCAATTTATATCATACTGGAAAATGCCTTCTTGGCCACGTAGGATGTAGAAACTTACCTGAAACAGATCATGATTGTGACGGAGACGACTAGGGAAACCAGGGAGATACCATAACCAGAGTTGTACATCTGCTTGATTCTCCCCATGTGAGACTGAAACAGTCATGAGAAGTCTGTGCATACACATAAAGCGGCTTAGTTGTAACGTTCAATGTGTAGTAGATAGTTAGTGCCTTTATTTAATTTATAAAAGTTTAGATGATTAATCTTACAAACTTAAATAAAATATGCTAATGATTTGCTTCCTTCCTGACTCGGCTCCGAGGCCCCTTTGTTAAGCCGACTGATTATCGGTATTTTCTCTGAAGTCAGGGTGTATCTACATGAGAATCGAGAAACCAATAGTCTACATACAAATACGACAGATCTTAAAAACGGATGTTCAGGCAAACTCTATTTCTAGAACAAGACTTAAGTCCAGATTTTGAATGTTGAATAAGGAATCGACATCACAGCACTTGGGACACCCACATAAATGCTCAGTCCCTGTCCTCAACAGCAAGCGAAGAGTTCCAAATCCGATGGCACCAGCAACCGTTTGATTGTATATCCGTCTCATCCCTAACCTGAATGCTGAGCGTCGGCCAGATCCCCTGGTAACTCCTTGCAGTGCCATTCTCCTCAGACTGCGATGGTCTATTTGCGCCTCGGCACTGTTTTCTCGCTCCGAAAGGGCCCTCACAATATCTAACATGTCATACATCGATTCACCACCAAGTGGTGCAGAGCCAGCCAGTCTATCTTTCTGCTCATTTCCCAACACGCCGGCATAACCTGGAGAAAATATCCAAAGGATGCTAACTACCCGGGACCTCTGAAGTTATGCTTGCCACTCTGCACGAAGCGTGCCTGTTTTCACCTTTCTCAACATGCTCTGTGAGTCAGTTACAATCCATGTGTGTACAGCTGATTATCAAGCCAGCGAAAGGCAGCAGAGACTGCCTCCATCATTATCAAACTAGACATTGTGATATCATTTGAGGGGCTTTTCTGAACTAAGCGACGCGACGTCCCTTCGCCTTTGCTATGAAACTCCATGCACGTCGTCTGCCCCTTAACACAGAGCCATCTGTATAATCACATCGCTGAAGTCCAGATCTGGAAGAACAACCAAAACTTTCTTTCCATCAGAGTTTACAACCAAGAAAGGCTAAGAAGAAGAAGAAGAAGAAGAAGAAGAAGAAGAAGAAGAAGAAGAAGAAGAAGAAGAAGAAGAAGAAGAAGAAGAAGAAGTAGAAGAAGAAGAAAAGAAGAAGAAGAAGAAGAAGAATATGATTCGTAATTATATCTGTAACAGGTTGTAAATTACAACAAAACACTTTCCCTCGATGAAAGGATCCCGAAGACCCAATCAACCTCCTCAGGGAAAAGACACAGACTATTTTATTTAGACTACGAACTGGACCCAGTAGACCCTGCAGCCATTTATACCAGAAATTCAAGATTGGAGATTCAGGACTTTAACCTTATGGACAGGTGCCACATAATACTGAACACTTGCTACAGACATGCTCTCTGCCTAGAGAGATCCCATGTTTGGACGGTTTGCATTGCAAAGGAAACTTAGCTGTATGGAGCAGTGGAATCCATGGACTTCTGTGGTCTTCTCATCTGAAAACCACTGACAGTAAGAACGAAAAGAACCAGAAGAAGAGAAATTCATGCAGAATTTACTCATTTATTTCTGTAACAAAATCCACTTGGTACTCAATGTAAAATAACAAAGAGCACGTTTCACATCATTGACTATGAGGCATATGATGCCAGATCCATATTTGTTTTCGATCAATCAGTACTCGATGGGTGGTCAACATCACACAAGCCACATTTATTTCTCATGATACTTCCCAATACCCATTTTAGGTTACGTCGACCTTTAAACCAAGATTAATTAATTAAAAAAAATGTTTCGTCTAGATGTGGACTCGAACGCAATACTTTCGTGCTGGCAGGTAAGCGTCTAACCAATGAGCTATTCAGGCTAACAAAGTTATTAACATTCACATGATATTCTGCTTCACAATCATAAAAACCTAAAGTAATCAACATTTGAAACTAAACAATTTTCCATAGAGTTCGATATTCATAGCACATTGTACTGCTCAACGAGTACATGTATTTTATACTGAGAATTATGTAAGTTATGGCATTAATTCTGAGAAAGGGAATATACTACATGGGCACCACTTGGTCTCCACAATACTGCTGAGGTTTTGTGCTATGGAGAGCAGTAACTTTATCCCTGGTCTCACTTGGTATCGCCATGATTCCAGGCCTCGCTATAGCACAATACTAACTATTACTATTCACATACTGCAAGACTCACGACAACGGGCTACAGCCTGGTAACAGAGTCACTTCTAATAATTTCTTCTTGTCTCTGGGTAGTAAGATCGGATGCCCGTGTGTATTCTTGCGCACGTAAAAGAAATCCCTTGGCAGTTGGAAATCAAAAAGAGTAGCATAACGGCGTTGCCCGGGCAAAAATTTGGAGTAAAAAATCTATCCAAAGTATTTTAGGATCCTCGCCAGTGTAACGGTGTTCGTGCACTGCGTTGAGATTCTTTAAACGCAGGCTTAAGTTAGAAGTAGAACGGAGCACTTATGGGTTACACCCATGACCTTGGCTACCATGTCGACTGAAGCTAAGATGGGTACCAGACAATGGCCTGGGAAGTAAAGGCGCTGAAATGCTGCTCACATCACCTAACTAGTGTTAACTGGTCTAAAAATATAAGATTGATTGGTTGATTGACTTTCTACCCCACCAGGACATCACACAAGCGATAAACACCCGATGACACAAAGTGCCACCATGCGGATGAGGATCACCGTGGAGAGGTCCCAGAAACCGCGTTCAGACAATTGGCCATATTGATGGCCTGCCTATATTGCGGCCCCTGGCAAAAGCCAGAGTGGGGCTTCAAATAACAAAAAATTACGTCCTAAGAAGGACGTAAGGGATTAACTGAAAAAAAAAATATAAGAGCCACTGGCGTAATTAATGACACTTTAATTTTCATTTCGGTATTTAAGTAAGAAACAATGAATATGTATATACATATAACATTTTGCTAGAATGTGTATGAGGTTTTATAAAGTCATGAGTAAAAGAGGATAGCAGTGGTTGTATAGATTTATATTGATCAAACATTAATACACAAGCATGATAGAGATAAAACTACCTTGATGAAATCAGCTCTTGTTAAAGCGTCGTCATATTGCCGAGTTGTACAAGAACGTAAATCAGTCCACGTTCGGTTGCGAACATCATGGAAGAACCACGTCCCATCTTTCATACAGGTCCGGCTTGCATTCTCTAGAGGAGAAATTGTACACAAGATCATGAATTATCTCGTCATCCCCTTGTGGGATGCAATTTTTTGTTATTTTGAAGCCCCACACTGGCTTTTGCCGGGGCCTTAAATATAGCCAGGCCTGAAATATGACCTAACGGCTGAATGGGGTTTCCGGGACCTCACCACGATTGATCCTCATCTGCATGGGGCACTTTGTGTCACCGGGTGTTTATGGCTTGTATGATGTACTGATAGGGTTACCCCCCCCCCCCAACCCAAAAAATATTATTTAGATTTGACAGGAACTTTTCAAAATATACATCAATATTTTCTTTACCTTTTCAGTGTTAGACCTGAGTTACTTTAATATAATTATAGAATACACTTTATTTACGCATGAAAAAAACAAAATATAGAAGCAAACACGTAGTCAATGAGTTGGCATCAGTGCGCTTGGAACATCCAGACAAAACTCGGTTCCCTTATCTAGTAGTCAAAGCAAATTGTTTATGCTGAAGACTGCAGATCTCAGACTGACTAAATATCTATGTCTCCCCTACTCAATGATTGTAACCAGACCATGTGTTCAACTCAGGCTAATCAGCCCCCTTCATGTGTGGATACTCGGTTAGGCCGTCTGTCTACATAAAGATGTCAGACAGCCTTCAACATGTCAACACTATCATAAAGTAGGTTTACCCCCCCCCCCCCACACCCGCACTCTCCTCCAACTTTATTTTATAGAGGAGAGGCAGCAGTCTATCAGTTTGCCCATTGCTCTGTGCAACATTAACTCTTTGAGTCCTAAGAAAAACATCTTATCTGACGGTCACTTTCTCTGAATCCTAACGGTCACAAACGTATTCTCTTAGATATTTCAATTGGTTTTCTCATAGCAGTGGTCACTTATAATGTATATTTCGAGAGGACTACCGTTTATTTGATCAAAATCCAGTTGTTGTTTTTTCACCTGGCGATATGCAACGATAAATTGTAAGCACTCGTTACAGGCTTTATAAGCGCTATTGTAATATACACGATGTGGTAAGTACCCGCAGATGTTTTAGACACTTTGTGGTAAGTACCCGCAGATGTTTTAGACACTTTGTGATGATAACCTGCATTTTTCTTTCTTTCTGAAAAGCCCTGGTCCGTGGGCATTTGTTGTAAAACCTCCTGAAACAGAAAACGTTTAGAAGAAACAATAAAAAGAATGTATACTGAGCTAGATGCTTACCCCATGGCTTGAATCCATTAATGTAATCTGGGCATGGCTGGACTGCCACTTCACCGGCAGGGGTGTCTGGCCAACACAGAACATTGTCCCAGACTCGAGGACAGTAGGTGCCTAGAGTTAGAATGGATGAACCACATTACTGCATACCGACTTCACATTTATTCTCATTTTCTATAAATGGTTTAAAAAAAAAAAAGTTCTGAAAGCCTACTAATATAAAAACAGTACTTTTTTTAAAAACGCGAATGGTGAATTTCTAAGTGATGTTAGGTTCACATTTTTATAAATAATGAGCACTCGATGGGTAGGTTAGTCAATATCACGCCGATGGTCTTTATTTCCCAGAGCATTTCCAGTAAATATTTTATAGCAGGCCTGCCTGGAAACCAATGTCATTTATAAAAGAAAATCAGTTCGGTGTGGATTCGAACCTAAGACCTTATGGCCAACATGCAGCCGTGTTCCGTTCCCAATGTAGAACACTGTAAATGGTGACTGTGAAAGTGCTTCAGTGTTTGAGTAAGAGAAACCAACAATTGTCTGTGGAAAAACTAATGAAAGCCGAACATGGCTCCATAAGATAAGAAGATGAAGACATGGTCTTAGGTTTTCAAGCTCTACCAAAGATGAATCAACACGCACATGAAGTAATAGCATCACGAATACAAGCATTGTTTGGCGTGAATGTCTTTATCACCAGTAACATCTACTGATAACACTGTATAATCTTTAGTTCTGTTTAACAGGGTTTCGGGCATTTCCTGTTGTTTCATTCTCATCTATGAAGTGTTGTAAAAAAAGAGATGCATTCTGCAGCTTCGCAGAAGGCTTCCTTTCAGCCCTGTGGGACTTTAGAGCTGTAAAAGGTTAAGGTAAAGTCGGGAGATGTGAACCAGCGTCATTGCACACGGTTATCAACCATAAGTGCTCTGCCACCAGTGCGGACAGCTGATAAGAAACTGTCCGCCTGTGTCGCTGTTTGGACGTAACTCTGTAGCTACAGCGACGTTCCTCCATTTACCCCAGAGTGTCACTCTGGTACCCATTTCCTAGAAGCTGGGTGAACCACGGGAACCACCCGATTTCGAACACCGACCGTGGCTACAGCGAGTCGCAGCTGGATTTGAATGCGAGCCTCCGATCGGCTGCGCCAACGCGGCTCGAAAGAGAGCTGTGTCACAGGGCAGTCGCCTGACTGCACCGCTGGTGACTCAATAGTCTGATATGAGAGTGACAATTCTCTGTCACAGTTTCTGCATCCTGAAGATAAGGCAGATCCTGCAACAAGTGACTGCATTTTATAATTGTGTCTCCTGTCTTCTGCAGGATCAAAATGGGATCAGAGAGCACCAGTCCGTGTCAAACATCTCTCCTCCAGGAATATCTATCTACTGCAAATCTCTCCCATGTTGATATATCTTGCCAAGGGTTTTCATCCTATTTACAGACAACTTCATTTCGCATGTAAGTCTTCCAGTTGGACTTTGCCCATTGGTTAGTTCCTTGTAAAAAGACGTTTGGAAACACGTCCATCCTCTAACCAGACACATGGCACAGCTACCAAAAACAACCATGTTTGAGCAGAGAGTGCACTATTGTCATATCTGTTCTTTCAGGCACTTTTTTTCCCCTTCATTTGGTCCTACCTCAATATGCACATGAATGGGAACTTTGTGACGATGGAAAAAAAATCAGTGTTAGACTAGGCAAACCGAGAGAAATGTGACCAGCAGGTCTACGGCTGTGGTAGTAGCGAAACGTCCTAATAGAACTAATTCACAATACCTAAGATCGATGTTTATAAAAATGCACAAACCCTTGCGCCATCTAACAAGGCACACGATAATGATAGTGGTGGTACTGGTTGTTATGAGGAACATGATGATTTATATTTCTTATGCGTTAGGTTAGTTGCGTTTCCTTTACAAGACGTTGCAGAACCCACCTCAGCATTTTTTTTTTTTGCTATTGTGGTTTTTCTAGGCAATTTTACTTTCAGTAGTTTGCCATTGCTCATGAACGGACAGCTCTCGATACCACTGTCGAAACCAACGCAAGACAAATCGTCCGCAACAGAGATCAAACCCGGCACCCTGGCATTACAAAGCGCGTTCGCAACGCCTAAGCCACTGACGCCGAATTCTTATGCGTACTACATCTGAAATCTCACAGGAGTTCCTGCGCTGGCGATAGCTTCTCTTGTGTATTTATAAAGGGTTAGGGTGATTTGAATCGCACAAAATACACATTAAGAGTTACAGAAGATTAATGTAGCAGTGGGAATTTAGGGAGCGCTGGAAATTGCAATAGATGGGAGGGTTTCTCGTAATTTAGTGGGTCTTTTTTCCGTTACGAAAAAAAAAGGCACAAGAAGAAGAACAGCGAGGTTACGAAGTGGAATTACACGAGTTAAAAGACATAAGAGAGAAAAGTCAATTCCTGTCTAGCTATTGAAGTACGAACAGTGGTTTCATAATAATTTTTTTTTTCTAAATTAACCTAGCCCAGGTCATGTGACAACTGTTATACCTTTTTGCTAGTGACAGTTTATCCAGCCAATCATGCACAGTTCTCACAATGAAGAATGGCTGCAATGAATCCCCAACACTTGCTTTCTCTCTTTTCGAGTGTATGCCTTTTCAGCACAGGCGGGACGCCGATGCAAAGAAAAATGTGTGGGACTTGGGAGTCAGTGGTGCTGGATTTAGGCATCAGCTAAGTTACAGATTAGGACCTCATAATCTGTAGGGGTCTAACAGAATTCCATTTTGTTTTTCACAAATGCAATTGTCTCTTCACCCCCCCCCCCCCCCACATACACACACACCCCAACCCGCCCCCCTCACATACACACCCACAGGCACACACCCACACGCACGCACGCACGCAAACACACACACACACCCACACGCACGCACGCACGCAAACACACACACACACACGCACACACTACACACACACACATAGAAAAATCCACCCACATTTTATAATATAATTATTATTTGTGTATATTATCGCAGGCTTTTATGTATTCTGACTTGTTACAGCATATATTTAAATGGAATAAAATAATCTGTTTGATAAGTGTTAACTTCCACCTTAATACATGATGTATTTGACAGTTGTATGCGATTAAATGGTGTCATTTGAAAAGAACGGTAGGGGCGTCAGGGCTTTATCTAGTGTAGGGCCTCATTAAGTCTAAATCCTGCCCTGTTGGGAGTTGATGATTGAGAATGGGAAAGGGGGCGGGGGGGGGGGGGGCTTCAGCTTCCTCACACACAGCAAAATAAAGCAATATTTCCACTTCCAAGACTTTAGATGTAAGAACGTATGGCGGTCATTCTAATAATTTTTAGCCAGAAGCATAAAAACCATCAAGCACACACGCCAATCCGCCTTATCCTCTGCCTCCGTGAACAGCTCACACCGTGTCCTTCCTATCTTTTTCACCATATTTTATCATTTATTTTCTATGTGATTTTGGGTCTGCCTTTATTCATTTGACCCTGTGGATTCCAGTGCAAGGACATTCCAGATATTTTGTTTTCAGTGTTGTCGCTGTGAATCCCATTCAAAGCCAGCAGTTTTGTTGTTGTTGGAACCTCTTAGTGGAACTGGTGTAGTTTTTAACCAAAAGCTCAAAATTAGTAATTATGTCACAACCCTTAATTCTCTCCATGTCTCACAGGCACCAATTGATGATTATCTTAATTTTTTTTTTTATTACAGAAATTCTTTTACTCAATTCTCCACGTTTCAGCTCCACTCGACAGTGTGAATTTGATATTACAGCTAAACTATATAGGTTTTGTACTAAACTAAATTATAGTGAGTTGACCCTGCCAAAACAGTTATTGTCAGGCACGGAATATGTGACACCCCCTAACCCTTTTGTTTTTATTTTGCTGTTAATTAATTATCTCATCATGTTAAAGTACGTATACACATAATGTAACAAAGTGCACGCAATGCCAGGTAAACTTACCATTAGTTGCTGGTGTCGGATGGTAGACGATGTACTTGGCACACTCAAAATACGCCTCGTCCAATCTGGCTAGTTGCTCTTCTGCAGAAATATTTACAGGAGTCCGGTTTTGCTGCACATAGAAATACATCACATTAACATAATTCAAAGTACTGCAAGATGGTGTTAGAACTGACACTGGAGTCTTCTTCAACCCACGTCAAACAATCTATATTAATAAAAATGTTTATTTTCCTATATTGTTAGCTAAAAACCTGGAAACTACTGAACCGTTTGCTTTCAAATTTGCAAACAACGTTGCCTTTGACTCCAAGCGTGATTTTTGTCAAAAAATCGCACAAACCACGAACGATGTAGCTCCAGCAACGGTCAAATCATTATTTGTTTCGTTGCCAGCCTGGATTTGTTTTTAGTTTATTGGCCATATTTGACTGCTGAGATCTTATTGAACTTTATATAATTTCATTTCCACTATTTGCTTGAGTGCTTGGTAGCGTAGTTGGCAGTTGTTCTCCCAACCATGCAGGTGAGCCGCGATCGATTCCCCGCGAGGTGATATAATCTTTTTAGCCCTTAACTGGGCGGCTGGCACGTTGTGTTGTGGTTTATGGCTAGGCTGAGATATCTACGCCTTTTTCGGTTTTGGAGTTTACAGCTAGCCTGCGACAGCGGCGAGGAGATGCTCAATGGTCAGGTCAAGGGTAATCTTCGTTCGCCCTCGAGAGGGCCGTTGGCACGTTGTGTTGTGGTTTACAGCTAGGCTGCGATATCTGACCTAAACTCTTCAGTCATCGGTAGTATAGTTGTAAGTATGTCATCCTTCACGCGGGTGACGGGTGTTCGATTTCCCTCTGGGAGATAATTGTTCTTTTCCCTTAAAGGGTAGTTGCCACGTTGTGTTGTGGTTTACAGCTAGGCTGCGATATCTGCGCCTTTCACCCAAAGACATTCGATTTAAGTTAAGTCATAATTAGCCTCCCCGCGACGCTTCTCGATCAAAAACTATTCGGCGGTGACAGAAACTGTTACCTAAGACGGCTTACAGTCCAGTTTAGTTTGGGCGGACACTGATGCCAAGGTCAGTTAAAAATCGTTCCCTCGGAGAGGGAGAGATGACGGGTGCGGGGTATTTTTCTCCGCTATTCGTGAGTTTAGTGTACTTTTCACTGTGGGTTCCATCACTGGTTACGTGATGACGTTTTTTTTCCTATGTCCGGGGCAAAATCAAACTAAATAGTCCGTGGCGACAGCATGCGGCGCTTACTCCTCTTTTCTACACCGACCTACACAAACTGTAGTGAAAGTTGTTGTTGTTGTTGTTGTTGTGATGGTGGTGGTGGTTGTGGTTGCAGTAGTACTGGTACTGGATGGGTGATGTGGTAGCTGTTACACTGGCTACATTTACTTCTCTGTACAAGTTAATGCTACCTATTTAAGTCTGGGTAGACACGGATGCAAAGCTCCATTTAGTTACAATATTTCGTTACAGGGTGACTTTCCCATCCTTCAGAGAAGATGATATTATTTAAGGGGAAAAAAAAAGGGGGGGGGGGATTATGCCAGACACAGTTAGCTGAGAGAGCTTAAAATATTATTTTAACGTTCTCATTTCCTTACTATTTCTATTTTAATAATTTCGCCAGGTGATGATTTTTCAATCCTTCGGAGAGGGAGATATGACTGCGTCGATTGGGGGGGGGGGGGGGGGGGGGGAGGAGGGGGGGGGGGGGGGTATGACAGACACTGTTAGCTGAGAGCTATTTTCTTTCCTCTCCATTTCACCATTCTGGGCCACAACAACGCGTGGAAGGGTACAGCTAGTAATATTTATAAAATAAAAGTACAGAGCAATTTTCCCCACTTACTAGCCCTTTGAGAATCCTCAACATATGCTTTCTATAAATAACCACACTTTAAAAGTTTAAAGGTCGAGAAATGTGGCTGGAAGTGGTTGAGTAACTTGTGTGAACAAATAAGCATCATAAAGGAAATCCCAGGTCGACTCTGTCTAAAATGAGTGCGGAGTAAAGTTCTTGGAAGTAAAGACGAGAGGTTCCATGTTGACCACATCGACCACCAAGGTTTAATAAAGCAAAATATTTGCCCTCGACTATACGCCATAGGCTTGAGAATAGTCATTTATGCTTCAAGTTAAAAAAAGAAAAGAACAACTACAACAAATAAGTAAAGAATATGGCTAAACTACAGACATTCATTACCCAGTGTCTGTGCAGAATAGAGGAGAATAATGGCATGATAGAATCCCATATGCTGAGCTTTCGGAGAGAACTAAACAAATTCTAGTGAATCAAGAGGTGAGACAAATACGCTGGCGTTGGATATGACACAAACTGATAAGACACAAGAACGATATAACTAGAAGAGCTTTAAACTGGAACCCTGTAACCAAACAAGGGCACTGAAATAAAAGTTTAAAAAAACACACACGAAAAAGTGAACTAAAGGGTGAAGTTAAAAAAGATGGGGAAGACATTGGGTGAGCTTCCAATGTGCGGATTAGTAAATAAAATAAAGGTCTAGTCCTATATGTCCAATACACCTGAAGACATGAAAAGGGGACTTCTACTTTTATAAAATAATATAAAAATATCTTAAAAACAAATACCCGGATAACTATAAGAAGTGAGGAAGAACAGTTTTACAAACAAGCGGTGTAAAGCATACGCAACTGACAACTTAATGCACAGAACTTTCATTGCAGTCATTTTTTTTTTCTAACTTCTGCCTGGGTAAGGAATTCATATACTGTGTGTTATGCGTTATACTCATTTTAATAATAATTATATTTACGTGGCTCTTAACAACGATTCTATAGTTGAATTGTCGTCCCCACGTTGATGCAATTTTTCGTAATTTTAGACACCGACCTAGTTGCTGCCTGGAGCACTAAATATAGCCGGGCCATAAATATGGCCTAAACGGCTGAACGGGATTTCCGGACCTCTCCACGGGTGATCCTCATCCGCATGGTGGCCTCTTGTATCACAGGGTGTTTATCGCTTATGTGATGTCCTGGTGGGGAGCCTCGGGAAGGGAGCGGCTAGATGTCTGCCTGTATGTCTTGGTTTCGAATTCGAATGGGTTCCCGTGTGGGTGCCGGGTCTCCTTGTAGGAAAAACAAGAATTCATTACTCACTGTACTTCTTCTTCTGCCTTTTATCCCCCCCCCCCCCCCATCACCCAACCACCCAACTGGAAAATAAACCCTCAGGCAACTCACACAAAGCCATTCTATCCCTCAGCCAACTCACACAAAGCCATTCTATCCCTCAGCCAACTCACACAAAGCCATTCTATCCCTCAGCCAACTCACACAAAGCCATTCTATCCCTCAGCCAACTCACACAAAGCCATTCTATCCCTCAGCCAACTCACACAAAGTCATTCTATCCCTCAGCCAACTCACACAAAGCCATTCTATCCCTCTGCCAACTCACACAAAGCAATTCTATCCCTCGGGCAACTCGCACAAAGCCATTCTATCCCTCAGCCAACTCACACAAAGCCATTATATCCCTCAGCCAACTCACACAAAGCCATTCTATCCCTCGACCCCACACGAAGCACACCCACGTCCTCTCCACTCGTTTAACCACACTCTCTAGCTCCAATCCCAAGTTCCCTTTGGTCTGCCTCTATTTCAACCCTCCCCAGTACTTATAAAACAGAAACGATCACTCTCTATACCTTAAGATGTTTGCTGAGAGACATTAAGCATCTATGGGTTTTCGTAAGAGTCCCAATATCGATTCTTAAAACCAAGAAATCAATAAACAATCTACACTCTTGTTTCACGCTTTGCTACCATCTTTAAACTCTCTCTATCTTGAAAGTGTTACTTTAAAGCAAAACAACGTTTGGGCCTGACTGAACACAAAAGCTCATCTGACAGAAGGGGTAAACTGGTTACTGATTCAGGACTCGTCATCGTATCATTTTGAGCATTGCCGTTCTAAAATGTGACGTGCCGAGGCTTGGTTATCACCAGTGTCGGATTTAGACTTGATGAAGTCCTAAGCTATATAAAGCACTGAGGCCCGTACCGTTTTAAATTACACCAAGTAATCTGATAAAACTTAAAAATATATAAGGTAATAAAAAGTGGAAGTTGATGCATATGAGGCTGATTTGTTTATTCAATTCAAATAGGCTACAAAAAGATTTAAAAAATAAAGGACTGAGATTTTCAAATTTTAAAAGAAAATTGGGTACTTTTGTAATATCCTCCCCAGGTGACGTCACAGGACAGTCTAACATTTTAGAGGGTGGTAACACTGGGTTTCCCAGCTTTCGGATGCTTTTAACGACCCTTAAATATCTAGAATTGGCCCTTACCCCAACCCACCTACGTCCCACGATAGAGTGCAGCCTAGGTCCCACGACTGCACGAAGTCTATCTACCACTCTCTGAAATATTAGACTGTCCTGTAACCTGCGGATTTCCCCTGTTTGGAGTAGAATATTAAAAAAGCACCAAAAATTACATTTGTTAAAAAAAAAAAAAAAAAAATTTTTTGAGGCTCTTGAATACTGTCCTAAGTTGAGGTCCTAAGTTGTAGCTTATTTACCGTATGCATAAACCCAGCACTGGTAATCACTAATGCCGCATATTACTACTACTACTGCTTTAATGCTACATCTTCTTTGTTTGTGTGTGCACCTTCCACGAAACTTACCGAATCGAACGCTAGGAATCCTCTCGTAAACCTTGTTTCAGCTACTCAGGCATGCGCCTGAAGCTGTATAATAATAAAATAAAAAGGCACTATTTTGTTCTGCTTTCCCTTCTATTTTGCTGCTAAACCCTAGCCAGATTTTTCACTCCGATTAACCGAACCATTGGTGTAGGCTGTTGCATCATCCGTAGCCATCGACAGTTTTACAGGCCCTGAAACTCGACTGGTGACGTCACTTCCCGAGGCAAACAAAATGGTTGTATCAGTGTGTGTTCGGTTTTATTTTTCTTGTGAAAGTTTTTAATGTGGTTTAATTTTCACGTCTGATTCACCTAAAAGCGGTATTTCAGGGAGTAGATTTAGTAAGCAATTTCTGCAATTTACGTTGGATTTATCGTCAGTGTGTTGGTTTTCG